CCATGGACTTCGTTGTAGGCTTGCCTACCACCATAAGTGATTATGACTCTATTTGGGTGGTGGTTGATAGGTTGACCAAATCCGCCATTTTATCCTAGTTCGGGTGTAATATTCGGCGGAGAAGTTAGCTCAGCTCTGCATCAGCCAGATAGTCGACTTCATGGGATGCCTGTTTCTATTGTCTCCCATCGGGGTTCATTATTCACTTCTCACTTCTGAAAGGCCCTACTGCATGGTCTGAGTGCTTAATTGGATTGAGTACAATTTTTCACCCTCAGACGAATAGGCAGTCCAAACGGACAATTCAGATGTTGGGGGACATTGTTACGACCCAAAGTACACCCTAAACGTGACATGGCATATAAGACCCCAAGAGGCCCTACACAAGCCACTTGACATACATATACACAACATAATAGAGAAAAGCAAGAAATCTCATAAGAAGTAAAGAGTTTGACATATAAGTGGAAGCACATCAAAGTCTTGAGAGAAATGCATCTATTATTATTATTTGTTTTTTTACTTCTTCTTATCATTTCATATTTCAAGAGGGGATATATATACATATAACTTGGCCACAAAGTTACTTGGCCACAAAATTTACTAGGCCACAAAGTTACTTGGTCACGAAGTTTACTTGGCCACAAAGTTACTTGGCCACGAAGTTCACTTGGCCACAAAGTATATTATGTGGACATCCATTTTACAACAGTAAGTAAAAAATTAACATCCATTTTTTTCAACCTACATTAAAAAAAATGCAAAATATTACTGTTCAACAAAAGGAAAATTATAAACGCCAATGAATTATTGTGCGAGTTCTTAAACCTCAATGAATAAGTAACTTTTTTTCAAATTAACATACAGGCTTAACAAGCAGATAAATCATCATACAAAATAAGAGTTTTTTATAGTAAAAGAACCAATACGCAGTATGAGAAATACAATAAAAAATAGTGAATTTGAAGTTATTCTTATCTCTACCGTTGTGAATTAATTCGATCAATTTAATAGGTTTTTTTATTTTATTCTATAGATAAATTATTTTCATTTATCAAACAAGGACAAAAAAGCATTTGCAATAGGGTAACCACTTTTTAGAATTAAATAAAGGAAAAAACGTCAAAAATACCCCTCAATTTTGATTTATTGATTGTTTTTACCCTTACGTTAAAATAAAGTTATTCTTACCTCTGCCGTTATTATACTTATCATTCGTGCCTCTCTATGGACGGAAATCCCCAAATCAATCCAAATTAACTCGATTTTTTTAAACGACTCATTCCCCATTTTAAACCCATGCCCCGACCCCTCTAAGACCCAATAAATTATAATTGAAGTGTTTGTTGCATACCAAGTAATCGATATATATAAATGCTTTTTGATGTTCATAGTTCGCATGTATGATTTTATCAGTGCTTCAAAAAAATAACTTACCCCAAGGAAACTCCGTGTATCTACCGCTCTCAACCAAGTCAGGATATCTTTTGAGAAAATGGGTTAAATGTCAACCAATGAATCAAAGTTAAGTGGTATTTTTACTCTTTTTTCTTAAATAAAATATGAAAAAGGTTCAAAAATATCCTCAACGTATTAAAAATAATTTTAAAATACCCTCCTGCTACCTATTCGATAAAAAATGTTCTTAATGTATAGTAATAGTTCAAAAATGTCCTCCTTCTACCTATTGGATCAAAAATGTCATTAACCTATTAAAAATGATTCAAATTTACCCTTCTTCTATCTAAAAATATATTTATCAACTATTAAATACTACTTATATCATAGATTTTATTAATATATATAATGTTTTTATAGTATCAAAATATTTTTAAAAATTCCTTTTTGCCTTCAAATTTGAAATATTTAATTCATTTTTACTTCTATTAGCATCTCAATCATATTTTTTCCATTATCTAACAATTTGTCTTTCAAAACTACTGGGATTTTTGAATATATTATGTTAGGTGATACTATATTTACACTCAGAAAAAATTCAACAAAATAATTATCTTTTATGGGCATACATAACGAATTTCTTCTTTCTTCATGACTACGACAATGTTTTTTTTATACAACATACATTCGGATTAATTCACATAATAGTTCATATATTTTATTTTAAGCAAATACTTCTATTAGGTAAGACAAACATTAAGACAAACAACCAAGAATTTTTCAAAAAAAAAAATATACAAGTCAAAAGAAAACTAAATAATTATCAAAATGCAGTAAAATGAAATTTGACATATATAATTAGAATTAGGAAATATTTTTGAGTCATTTCTAATATGTTAAGGGATTTTTTTTTTAATCTAACAGGTAGAAGAAAGGGCAAATCTGAACCATTCCAATCAATGGAAGGAGGCATTTCTGAACCATTTCTATTGCGTCAAGAGCAATTTTGACCCAATAGGTTGAAGAAAGGGAAAATTAAATTCAATAGGTAGAAGAAGGGCATCTCTGAACTATTTCTAATACGTTAAAGGCATTTTTGAACCTTTTCAGAATAAAATAAGATGGCTATTGGAGCTAGAAATCGAGCTCCCATTGCTTTCCATAAGAGCAAAAACTGCGCAGCAACTAGACCAGTGACCCAACGAGACTTCGAGTATGTGAGTGCCTAGTTATATATATATATATATATATATATATATATATATATACACACACATGTCTTTCAAGATAGACACATCTATATACAAAAAAAAAACGTGCCCCCCGCACCTTCCACGAGGGTCCGCCTCTGTGTAGAATAAAAGTTTGGGAAAATGCATAAGCCAAAATCCCTGAGACACACCTAACTTTTACTAAGGTCCTATTACCTCCCTCCCCCCACCTCTCCGAACTTATTTTTTACCACTTTTCGGCCTACGTGGCTGAGTCCGTGACTTCACCTATGTTAGACACGTGGGTGCAGTTTTTAGACAGCACTAACCAATAAAAATTGGCCATGTGTTAAAATAAACTTGAAAAAAATAAATATTAACTCAATTGTCTTCTTCTTTATTATTGTTCTTCATGTTTGGAAAAAAAAAACCTCCATTATCATAAGTTAAATTGCTCCTTTCTTCGAAAAGCTAACAAAATAAAATCAAGAACAAACTAGCCTTTGAACTCAACCACGATTCTTGATGACTTAGAAGTAGGGGTGTATATAGGTCGGTTTGGTTTATTTTTTCATTAAAAAAAATCTAAAGCAATTATGTTGGTTTATTAAATCTAAATACCAAATCAAATCACGCAAAGTCGGTTTTTTGGGTTTCGATTTTAGTCTGTTCTTTCGGTTTTTTTTTTTTCCAGTTTTTTACAACTTAACGGTGTTTGAAAAAGAGATCAAATATATTTTCACCTACCTGTGTGATAAGCTAAACTTAAGAAACGTTAAATGAATAGAAATTTTCGTAAAGACGGTAAAATTCACATTAGTACAAAATATATTTTTTTGAAATATCAACGTTCATTATGTTAAATTAATAAGATTAAAGGATACAGTCAAACTGAATACAAAACGAAATATTTACAAAGTACATTGTTAACTTCAAATTTGAAAACTATAACAATATAATTGTAACTTCGAATCTTAATACAAAATAAAATATTTACAAATTTTGCAAGCCCAAATTTGAAATAAAATATATAAACATTGAAAACTATAGACTAGCTAAAATATATTAACAAAGTAGATTATAAGTAATATTTCTTTTATCTATAATATTTACAAAAATTTTACAAGCCCAAATTTGAAATAAAATATATAAACATTGAAAGCTATAAACTAACTAAAAATATATTAACAAAGTAGATTATAAGTAATATTTTTTTATCTATAAATAAAATAAAATTATATATATAATATTTACAAAATTTTACAAGCCCAAATTTGAAATAAAATATATAAACATTGAAAGCTATAAACTAACTAAAAATATATTAACAAAGTAGATTATAAGTAATATTTGTTTATCTATAAATAAAATAAAATTATATATATAATATTTACAAAATTTTACAAGCCCAAATTTGAAATAAAATATATAAACATTGAAAGCTATAAACTAACTAAAAATATATTAACAAAGTAGATTATAAGTAATATTTTTTTATCTATAAACTAACTAAAAATATATTAACAAAGTTATAATATTTTTTATCTATAAATAAAATAAAATTATATATATAATATTTACAAAATTTTACAAACCCAAATTTGAAATAAAATATATAAACATTGAAAACTATAAACTAACTAAAAATATATTAACAAAGTTATAATATTTTTCTATCTATAAATAAAATAAAATTATATATATAATATTTACAAAATTTTACAAACCCAAATTTGAAATAAAATATATAAACATTGAAAGCTATAAACTAACTAAAAATATATCAACAAAGTAGATTATAAGTAATATTTCTTTATCTATAAATAAAATAAAATTATATATATAATATTTACAAAATTTTACAAGCCCAAATTTAAAATAAAATATATAAACATTGAAAACTATAAACTAACTAAAAATATATTAACAAAGTAGATTATAAATAAAAAAATTTATCTATAAATAAAATAAAATTATATATATAATATTTACAAAATTTTACAAGCCCAAATTTGAAATAAAATATATAAACATTGAAATCTATAAATTAACTAAAAATATATTAACAAAGTAGATTATAAATAATATTTTTATCTAAAACATAAAGTGATAGCTTTTTGAAATTTTGGGAAGTGTAAAAGCTATTTTTGAACTGATAGCTTACTTTTTAGAAAGTTGAAAAAGTGGTGCCCAGCGCGTGTTGAACAAAGTTTTCAACTTATCTGGTTTATATTCCACGTAGGCCGAAAAGTGGTAAAAAAATAACTGAAAAATAAGTTCGGAGGGTTAATAGGACCTTAGTAAAGGTTAAGTGTGTCTCAGGGATTTTGGACATAGGCAGGGGGTACTTATGCATTTTCCCTAAAAGTTTTGATAACCTCAAACGTGATATACAATTAAACATGCCGCTGCAAAATTTACCTCATTTTTAAGTCTTTACACTGTAGAGTTCACTGTAGGAACAAGCTTCAGCTAGAAGCATTCCAAGATCTTAGATATTTTACATATGAAGTAGACAAACCCATGCGATGAATCAAATAATTGTTTTAGTACACAACCCAGACTGTAGCAAACTAAAAGAGCAGCGTCCAATCTTGTAAGAATCGCAGCTAAGACAGTCTGATTGCCATTTCTTGAAGCAGTGCCCGCTTTTGTGATGTATTAATTACTTGATTGGATTCTGCATTTTCAAGCACATCTGCAATTATGGCTGCTGCATGGCCCAGAGGTTCTTCTGCTGCTCTCTTCAGCATAAAGGCCTATAAAACACTAGTGTTAGATGTAACGATAACGCCTCAATCCCAATCTAGCTGGAATTGATTGTATGAATCCATGTCACTCCATTTAAATCAAGTCATAGTCCAAAAGACAAGTGCCATACGTGTGCGGGGTACCAACAGCAGTACTTGTTTAGTAATCTCAAGTGTCACCACCAAACGAAAAAGGAGAAACACAAGGAACCAAGAGAATTGGGCATTATGACAAGATTTTGGCCGAACATCATCTAAAAAACAATAAAAAACGTATGGAGATCCTATACTACTAACTCATATTATAAATTTTAGTTGCTGACTCACAGAATGATAACTCGTTGACTTGGAAAAGCATATGGAGATCTAAAGTACCACTGGAAGTTGCATATTATGTGTGTCTAGCGATAAAAACTCAACTTGACACAGGATTATCTGCAGGTTTTCAACTTTGCAAAAGGTGCTACCTTTATGGATCAATCATTTGTTTTTTGTATTGCCCTGTGTTGTCTCACAGCTGCAGGATCTATTTTCAAATATGCTGAGATAAAAATGGATATGTTGAGAAGCTGGTGTGGAAGGGGTATGTCAAAGGAGCAATAGAAATGGTGGAGAACTTCCCAGCCATTATTTGGCCATTTGGTGGACAATTTGGAAAGAGAGAAATGAAAGATGCTTAGAAGATACAAACCGGTTCTACACAGAAGCTAAATAACAACTGGTTTCTTTTTGGTGCAAAGAGGAATTGGTTGGTGATGCAGAATCTCTTACTTCCTGTGACCGTTTATCAAAGAACAAATTGCTTCTAGACCCACTAGAATCCATGCTGTTAAGATCGATGTGAAGGCTAGATTCTTTTTGTAATTATTTCAAGCGCGCACACACACACATATATGATACTACTGACCTTTAAAAAAAACTAATAGCTTCGATACAGTAAGGACACAAAGCAGAAGAAATACAACAATAACATACCTAGTGTAATCCCACAAGTGGGTTTGGGGAGGGTAGAGTGTACCCAGATCTGTGTAATCCCACAAGTGGGGTTTGGGGAGGGTAGAGTGTACTCAGACCTGTGTAATCCCACAAGTGGGGTTTGGGGAGGGTAGAGTGTACCCAGACCTTACCCCTACCTCGGAGATATAGATAGGTTTTTCCGGATAGACCCTTGACTTTAAATAAAGTATTTTCAAGCAGTTTAAAAAAGAGAATACATAAATGTGAACAGTAACAACAACGAAATAATGTGAAATGGGAGATGCACACAACATACAGAGTAAGAATAATAATGCCAAAAGAATAATGTGATAACCAAAGAACAAAAAAAAAAACACAGATGATGATTGAAATCAAAGAACAAGAAACTAATAGACTCGTGCTAATACCACTGCAAGAAAGAAGGTCCAAGTACTAACACCGATCCTATCCCACAAAAAATTCTCAACTACCAACTAAACTTCTACCCTAATTCCCAACCTCCAAACTCTCTTATCTAATGTCACCTCGATAAGCTCAAGATGTGTCATGTCTTGTATAATCACTTCCTCCAAATATTTATTCGGTTCCCAGCAGAAGAAATGAATGATTTTAGAATTAATATTTCCCATTCCAACCACTTCCAAATCGCGAGAGCTCTTTACACCCATGATATTATGGTACTTATTAGTGGGTAATAAAGATATGCCAAATACAACGGTCTCAGATCTAGGGGTGCTTATCAAGTGGTTCAGTTCAGTGTTGAATGTTCACACTTAACGGTTTGGCTTATCGGTTTTATATGTGTTAAACTGTTACCAAAACAATAAAATATTGGTTTCTTTGATTTGGCATAGCGGTTATCGATTGGGTTATCGGTTAATCGGTCAAGTAACTCACTTTAGCATTTCCACTAAAAATATGATCCTACAAATGGATAGACAGACAAGCAAAAATTAACGAATTGCCTGTCATGGCCAGCATATGTGAGCTTGCTGCTAAGATCTTTTTTTAATGAGCATTTCCACTACATACAAATGGAGGGACACAGTCATGCAAAAACTTTAAAAAATGCTAATCATAGTCATATAATAGGTGCTTAATTTGGAGACCATAGACAAATGAAGAATCATGTCCCGCAGAATTTAAAATACACCCAAACATAATAAAAATGAAACAGAACAAAAATGTGATATGGGAGAAATAAATTTTCTCAATACTTGTACATATCACAAAAGTTGTTAACATGGATACTTAAGTTGTTCTATGGGAAGCAACTGAAATTCTAATTAAAAAAAGAAAATGCTCGATATAGAGAATGTAAAATGCGGTCATAAACAAACAGTTATATCGTGTTTATTTAGCCAAGATGATTTTATATAATCACGGGTAACATTGTAAATTCGTTTGAATTAACGAGTTATACGAGATAAAAATTAGACGATCCATTCCCGAACCGATAACCCGTTTTTAATATTCTAAACCACCTCCAAACCATTAATCTGATATCCCAAAACCAATAATGCAATAACAATCTTTTGGTTGGGTTATCGGTTTCGGTTCGGTTTGAACACCCCTACTCAGATCCATGCTTCAGGGAACAAAAATTTAAGCACTGTTGAATTTTAAGGAGGAAGACCTGTCCATGATGTGTTATCGTCAATGTACAGGGTTGCTGATTCCAAGGTTCTCCATCTACTTGAACAGGAAATGCAGCAAAAAGTTGAATTTTTATCACTTGTCCTTGTGCAAGCCTCCGAGCCTTGGAAAGCCCGACCTGATTGCAACAACAATGCTCTTACCACAGAAGTTAAGCATTTAAAAGCAACTGAAAGATCAAATAAACCATAATAAAAATGTCCCAGAAACAATTGGATTTGTCTAATCAGATTAAAATAATAGCAGTAGATCACAATTCAAAATAACCCATCAAGAAACAATGATCCATCTGTTGCTTCTTCACCGTTTACTTACGCCTTAACTATATCTGCAACAACTCTTGCCACAGAACTACTGGACTACAAGATATCATTATTGATCAGATACCACATTGGGATATGAACACAAAATAACAGCTAAGTGATTAACATCACTAAAAACAGTATTGAAACATCTCCAGGAAACAAAGCTTTAAAATGATGATTATTTACTACATTAACATCATCTCTGGAACAGCCTAAAATATACCTGCAGCTTCCCCAGATGCCAGGTACCAGAAATGCTAACAACCTCCAGCATCTTATCGTGCATGGATTGAGGATCAAGATTATCATAGCTCTCATCTTCATTCTGCCACAAGTCTACTCCGCCCATGTAGCTCCCAATATTAGCTACAAGAACACCTTCTGCATCCTAGAAACAGAAGGACCGTGATCATTTCATATCTGATCAATTAACTAGTAGTTGTATTTTAAGTAATCTCCAGACAAGAAAACTGATTGTGGATATATAACAAGAAGTGAGGATGTAAAATGACTTGAAAGTAAACAAAAAAAAAAAAACATATGAACTTTTCACAAGAATTTTGCAGCTTTGCATTTGACAGATACCTCAGGAACCTCAATCTCAACACCATCAACCTCCACACGAACTTGCCATGGAAAATCTGCAAACGTCCTATCCATGATACTCTTGGCACCTTCTCTGGCATAAAGAACTTTGTTCATGAACTGCAAAAGTGTCCCCAAATATTTTCAGCATGGACAGAAATACACATAGATACATAAATGACTTAAATAATCAATATACATTATCCCCCTACATGAATCAAACAATCATGAACCTCAACCTCTAAGCGGTCGTTTGGTAAAGAGACAAGTTATGCAGGGATGAGTTATATCTTGCTGAATATTTAGTTTGATGTATTACACATTAGTATATAATATATAATTTAGACTATTTGTTTACTTTTAAACAACATACAACTTTCTTACTACGATGAGGGTTAGTTTGGTCATTTTAGCATTTTAATCCATATGTTATGTAATAACCACATTCTTATTCCACATTCTATCCAACATAAAATAATGCACACATTCCCGCATAACCTATAAGGGGTCGTTTGGTGGGGTGTATAAGAATAATGCTAATAGAATGTATTAGTAATACTTGCATTAATTATGCAAGATTACTTCTTATGCATTGTTTGGTTTGGTGTATTAAAAATAGCATGCATTGCATAATTTTATTTTATTTTTTTATTTTTTTTGATAACCGAGAAATCCATTTGTGACCCGCCCTTTGGACCAATCACAGTCGCCCATGTACCCTTCTCCACTTAAATACCGGGCTTCACTTTGCATGGTGTGGGGCTTGAACTTGCGACCTAAGCCACAAATCCTCCACCTTTTGCCACTCGAGCTAGGCCTTGGGGGCCATTGCATAATTTATTTTTAAAATACTTATTAACAAAAATACCCTCCACAAATATGGTGAAAAAGGTGTAAAAATGTTTTGAGGGGCAATTGGGTCTTTAAGCACGCTAATTCATGCATTGAATATCATTGCATTACTAATACCATGGATTTCCATGTATTAGTAATACATCCTCTCTACGTTCCAAGATAGGCGTACGATCTGCTACACACTACCCTTTCCAGACCCAACTTGTGGGGTTACACTGGGTATATTGTTGTTGTTGTTATGATGATGACACGAGTTTAACTTAAATGTAGAAACATAGTCGATGAAGATTCATGTAGTTGACCCCAACTTAATTGGAATAAAGGCATAGTTATCATATCAAACCTACCAACCAAATTGTCATGCTTCATATTCTCCACTTAAAACGAAAAGATATCTGCATTACCTGATTGTAAAACTTTTCGGGGTTCTCCTCCCTCATATTATGGATTTCTAATGCAACCTTTGCATCGCAACCAACACCTGAATATCAGTTGAACAACATTCATCAAATTCTATATCAAAGAAAGTGAGAAACTCACTCAACATTTCCAAGCAAAACATTCAACATTTTTTTATGTCACTGGAGATGATTTAGATATCACTATTATATATGACATGAAAAGTCAAGTCAACATACCAAGGTAATTGTTCAAGAACTTTGGAGGTTGAAGCAGCTCTCCCTGTTGATTTAAGACTGAAACTTTCCAACGATCAAGAATGGTTACCGCGGCTTGTTCTATATCATGCAAAAGTGTGCAAAGACCTCCTTGCCTCTCAACTGAACCCAAGCCACCACCCCAGGAAAGAACTCGAGCCAAATCATTTCCCGTCCCAGCAGGAAGTATTGCTACTGGTGGGGGTGAAATAAAGTTCTGTTTATCTATAGCATTCAAAACCCAACCAACAGTTCCATCTCCTCCACAAACGAGAATCCGGAAGTGAGGGACTCCTCTGAATAGATAAAGACCTATTTCGGGTCCTTCTGTTGAGCTCAACTCAAAGACCTAATTAGCATATCCATGCAACATCAGATAATGACACTCATGGACATCAAATTGTTGAATCTACTGAAAGGTAAACAACACTATGAAAGCTAATAGTAAAATAATAAATCACCTTCCATGATATTCATTACAATTGGAGCTGTAGTCAAGCTGGCAAAATAAGTAGAACTCAGGAATTAGCTATTTTACATTAGAACTCTGTAAAAAGGGAAAACTAAACTTCTTTCTATTTTAATTCTCTCCCTTTGACTTGATAGATGCCTGTGTAAGTCAAATTTTACAATCTTCATGTCAATTCAACTGAAAATGAAGATTGACGTGTCTCCTGTGACAAATGCCTTATATTATACCAGACGGGTAAAACATCAGCCTATTTGTCTATAGGTGAAACGTAAAATTATCAATTGAAATGTGGTCAAACAGCTATCCTAATAATGTATATGTGATATGACCGACGCCCAATGCCCCGCGGTTCATAAGCTTCTTTTATTGATATGGTAAACCCTAACTTTGTAGCTAAGTCATATCCCATGGTAGTAACATTTCTTAATCTGTAAGTAACTGTTCTACTGATTCACAAATCTTCATACATACATAGATAGAGGGCGAACAAATTTCAATGTAGTCGTGCCAAAAGAGAAGTGACTAGCTAAGAGATATTGCTCTAAATGACCTGACCTGCACAGGATTTAACAAAATGTTCAATCGCTGCCTAAGTGAATCTCCTCGCTGAGCTCCACTTTTCTTGTTTAGGAAAACTAGCAGAGGCCTAGCATCTGGAGGCAAATCAGTCAATTCATATTTCTGTTTCATTCGTATTAACCGAGACTCATCCTTCTGATTGATAGAAGAACTCCTCTTGAAGCTGGGTATAGATACCAGCTTTTTCAGAACACTTCCTTGATGCTGATCTACACTCTCTCTCTGTATACCACCATTATAATTTTCCTCTTCTCTGTAAGTATCATTTACTTGATAAGTATCTGCGGTGCTTTCAGTGGATGTGTTACCAATAGTGTCACCATTGCCTGTGTCCGCAGAGACCACATTTCCATTTTTTTTGTTATTGTGTTTGTGTTTGTATTTCTTGCTTTGACTTCGAATACTAGCACGTACTGAAGATGCAATCTCATTGGCTCCTTGTGTGATGGAACTAAGCAGTCCACCAGAGGATGTCCTAGTTAACTCTTTAATATGAAGAGGCGATAAAATAAGCCTTCTGAAAGGGCCCAAGTCACAAATATCACCTGTTTCATTAAACATATTAGCATGGCAATCAACGTGAACCAGGCACTGACACCATAAGCAGCACCATACAGGGGAACCCCCAAGAAATGAACTGCTGCACGGCTCTTCACAGTAGCTGCAGAAACAGGATTCATCTGGTTGATCTGCTACCTCTGTCCACCGAACTGCCCACTGATGTACCACGTGCCTATATCCAAACATTGATACACATTTGCAATCCTTAAGAGCACTCGATGAGCAACTAAGATGAGCTGCTGCACCACAAGTGTTGCAGCAATTAAAAAAACTCTCTGATGCCACCATCGGTCCAAGAGTTTGAGATGGAGACATAGACTGTAAGCAGACACAGCAATTTAAACTTTTTCCTCTAGATATGGATTCCAGAGTCCAAGTATGAGGAGCTACAGGGACCTTATACTTGGCTTTCGGGTTTTTCTTTGACCTAGCTATGGCTTTCATCCAACTAATGTTTACGTTCCTTCTCCATTGGAAAGCTATATAAAAGATAGTGAGAATTCCAACTAAACCAGCAATGAAAAAGGAGAGAATTAAGAACCACGATTGAGCCATCTCGGAGGAATTTTTCCTGATCCAGCTAGGAAGCGGAAACTCTAATTCTCGATAGTCTTCCATTTCCTAATTATATTCCCATAATGTTCACAAACATCTGCAGAACATATCCTAAAGTAACAAATCAACAGCCAGAAAGGGCATTAACCTAACATATATAACTGCATTGTGCAACTTCTACTGAAGAAACCATTTGAAGCCCCAGAAGCTGGTTATGAGTCCCCTGAGGTCGGTTACCTTGTTTCCCCAATAATCACATATGTTCCAGTGAAGTACTCAGGTAATGATGGTTGTACACTCCAAACTTGCAATTCTGCTCATTTTGTTTGCCCTCTCAAAGGGCTGTAAACTTTTCGACGAGGGTAGCAAAGCCAAAAAAGTACCCTGCAATAAGGAAAGGGATTACAACAACAACGACAAACCCAGTAAACTCCACTTTGTGGGGTAAGGGGAGGGTAGAGTGTACACCTTATCACTACCTCTCTGAGGTAGTGAGGTTGTTCCCGAAAGACTCTCGGCTCAAGCAAATCAAATCAGTAATTAAAAGATAAACATGACTAATAGCAAAGTAGTGTGAAGCATATATGCAAGGAACCATGATATCAACAACAAGGTGCAATCACCTAAACACAGCAAACCACAGATGCTAATCAAATCAAAACCAAAGACTACATGAATATCCTAAAACTACGATCGACACATAGCTCCACCCATCCAAAGACCGGAATAGGCTAGTATTAAGAACACCTCTCAACTACCTACTAATCTTCTACTCTTATCCGCAACCTCCATACCCTCTTATCTAAGGTCATGTCCTCGATAAGCTGCAAATGCATCATATCCTGCCTAATCACATCTCCTCAATACTTCTTTGGCCTACATCTATCTCACCTCGCACCCACAATATCCAACCACCTGCACCTGCTTATTGGGGCATTTGCACATCTCCTTTTCACATACCCAAACCATCTCAGTCTCCCTTCCCTCATCTTGTCCACCACAGAGGTCATTTCCACTTTCGTGGAAATCCTCATTCCTAATTCTACTACTCCTAGTATGCCTACACATCCATCTCAACATCTTTATTTTCGCCACTTGCATCTTCTGAACATGGAAATTCGTGATTGGCCAACACCCTGCCCCATACAACAAAAGTCAAAGTCAGTCTAGCCACTACTCTATAAAACTTACCTTTAAACTTTGATGGTACCTTCTTGTCACACAAAATGTCAGATGCAAGTCTCCACTTCATTCATGCTTGATCTCCCCATTCCCTTGGATCAAAGACCTCAGATACTCAAATATCTCTCTTGGGGATAACTTGAGCACCAAGCCTCACTAGGAAATATATAAGGGTAATAAGGAAAGAAATTAAACAAGGAAAAAAATATAGTTTTAATATGGCAACAAACGAAAGGATAAGAAAAGGGACATACGAAGGAAATCAAACTAAGGAAGTAACAACTAGTGTAATTCCTTATGTTATATAAAGGGAAATAACTCATATGAAAAGACACAAGGAATAACTTGTAGTACTCCCAGTGGAGTTTCCATGTTGTCACACCTCATTTTCCTTACGAAAGGGCAGGCTAAGAAATGTCACAACTCTTTTAGAGGTTTAACAGAGAAGGGTCACTCCCTCACATGTTAAGGTGCGTTATGGCACCATTTACTACTACTAATTGCAATTAACTTTGTTTTCAGCCTCACCATACCTTGATCTCATACTCTCGTACACTTTGCTTTAATTTAACTTTATGTGTTGTTGATTTATCATTTATTTTTAGTCCCTCACATTCAATTAGCCACCAAAATTATGTGGTATACATTTTATTTTTTTTGATGACTAGGGAAAACCCGCAGCCGCTACCCTTTGGGTGCGCACACAGGGTAAAACCCCCGCTCCTATGCAATAGCTCGCAAACCACATAGGAGAGCTAACCCGCACTAGGCAAGCCTGGTACGACGAGCTCGACCCAGAAGGCAAACCCCTTGCTTTCGCTGGCAAGGGGTTTCGAACTTGAGACCTCCAACATGGAAGTCCCAAGCTCAAACCACTGGGCCACCCCGAAGGGTTTATGTGGTATACATTTTACAAACAATTTCTTTTCTTTTGTGAGATGCTATAATTTATGGGGATCGTCTAGAACATGCTGTGTGGAATAGAGAATAATCAAAGGATGGATTTTCTTGTACACGATGTTGGAGGCTTATCACTCCGGGACCACCATTATTGTTCATCACCTCGGCATTTGGAATTATTTCTGGTAATTTTTATTAATTTGACTCTTCACAAACAAGGTAAGTCTCTTGATCTTCACAACTTTTACTTCCCTTTATGCGTAGTTGTATTTGTAGATGAACTTCTTTTTAATACACTTTTATGTCACTCGTACCAACTAGCATGTCTCATTTCCTTGTGAAAGATGGGTCAGGACATGTGACAACTCTTTTTAAAATTTAAAAGAGAATAGTCACCACCTAACGAGGTAAGGTGTGTTAGGACACCATTACTAATAATTGCAATTAACTCTGTTTAATTAGTCTACATCACCAAAGATCGGGTCAGGGTTCAAATTACCTAAAGAGAATGTGTTAATCACCTTTCGAGGTCAACAACTATGGGTCTAGTTCGGATTTAGAACTATGTGGAATAACTGATTAAGAAGACAAAATACACAAATATGTTAGTCAAATTTTGAAAATAAAGTAAAACAACTTGAAGCAAGAATTAAACATGTCTTTTTAAAAAAATTGATAAATAATCCCCCAAGTTCTTGCAACATCCCTTCCCTTTGGATTACAACCGGATAGGAAGTACTCTCTCTGTTTCAATTTGTTTGTCTGGTTTTGACTTGACATGGAGTTTAAGAAAGTAAAGAATACTTTTGGATCTTGTGGTCTTAAACATAAGATATCAGAATGTTCCAGTACCAAAATGTCCTTTAATCTGTGATCTTAAACATGTCATGTGCAAAGTTAGAATTAAAGAGCGCTAAAAAGGGAAAGAGACATTCTTTTTGAAACGGATTAAAAAGGAAAGTGGACAAACAAATTGAAATGGAAGGAGTATTTTATTACTGCCTCCCTTCTAAAAAGAAAGATGGATTCACAGTATGAGCTATAAGAATCTACTTTTGGCTTCACTTTGGACATTGATTTTCACAATATATTTTAAATGAACTTTTACATAGTTACAAATTACACAAATTTCTACAAAATCACAACTTTATCATAATATAAAGTATTCAGAAGATGTTTGAATAAATCATAGTTTGAAACAAATACTTATTAGTTTTCTTCCCCAAACAGTAAGAACGATATAGATCCATGTTTATATGTGTGTAACTAACCAACGGATACATCCATGGCACTGCATAGTATGTTACAGTTGAAACATATTTGCAAACCCCAAGGCAACCACCATCACCACCAACGGGAAAAAGTGAAGGCCAAAAATTTTATGATCTTCAGTATTTCTCATTCATAATTCTAAGTGCTATACTTGCTTCTCTAATCAAATCAAGTCATAACGAAAAATTTAACTTCAAAAAAACATATACAAATTGATCAAGCGGAAAGATAGTAGTACCACCTAAAAAGGTATCAATCAAACCAACCCTCAATGACAGACAAAAACGTTCAGATTATATCATTTTCCATAGAACCAGAGGTTCTCGAAATTACTTTAATCTCAACACTGATAAAAGTTTCCAACCAAAGTCAGAAAAGAATATAGGATAAAAATAAAAAGAGAAAATTGAGTAACACATCACGATGTTTAACCAAATATATCTATATATATATATGTGATCACAAATCGCAAGAGGAAATGCCATACCAACAACATGTCAATCCCAGAAAGCACCAAATGAACAAAATAAGAAGAGATCGAGTTATGTTTTTTATCTCTGCAAAACCCTAGCTAGTGAAGAATCAAAGGAAAAGTGTAGTGAAGCAAAGCAAAAAAGCAAATCTGCACTGTTTTATACCGCTTTCAGCAAATACAGGATTTAAACATATAAATATAAAAAACAACAATTAAGGTATATTTAATGGGTTACCTTACTTTATTGTCTTGGGTTTGCTTTGCTTTATATGCTTGGGTTTGCTTTTTATTTATCTATGCATATTTTGTAGTAAGAGGTTATTTGGTAGAGTGAATGATAAAATTACTGAATGCATTAGTTATATTAATGGTGTCTTGTTTGGTACATTTTTTTCATGTTATGTATAATTAATGTTTGTATGAGTTATACACTCTATCTGTATTGAGGAATGTATTATTAATATCATAGATTTTTGTGTAACTTACGTAAATCACATAGTGTAAAGAGTAATTACATCATATCCCTATTCTTTTTCTAATTACAATAATCTCTTAAAATTTGTACCTTCCGAATACATAAGTCACCATTCGGATACATTAATTCTGATACAAGAAGAATCCTTCTATTACGCTAAAAAGTGGAACAAAATCTTTTTTGTTGCGCTTAAAAAGGGAAAGAAACGTAAAATTATATATCAAATCCATAAATCGCGCAATTACGTTGTTGTCACTGCTAATCAATCTCTCCCAAAGCTAACAGCTTCAAAAAAAATCAAATTTCTTCTCTCAAATTGTCAAAACTATTTTCAATTTTGATTAAAATCATTGAAAAATTGAGTTGATACAATCATGAATATCTTTATTTTGTTGAGACATTCAAGAATCTGAGAAAGTGAGGTGAGTTGAATCAGTCATTGCAACTTAGAGATCGATGAGTTGAGGAAAGAGACGAGAGTTGTTTTATCCATGTACAATTGTTTGAAGATTCTCTCGATTTTTATTTTTAAAAAATTTGAGATTCAAAATTCTTCTCTCAGATCATGGAAGATCCTTTCAACTTTGATTCAAAATCATCGAAAAAAATTGAGATTTAAAATTCTTCTCCCAGTTCATCAAAGATCCTTTCAATTTTGATTCAAAATTGTCGAAAAATTTGAGAAAATACATCATGAATATCTTCATTAGTCTGTACTTGGAGGTGAAGAAACATGAGCCGGAATTTGCAATATATTTACTATGCATTGATACAACACACAAAAAGGCTGGAGAGATGTTGTGTAGTCGATTTTTTTATTTGTGATCTCGAGATGTTGTGTAGTCGATTTTTTGTGAATATTTGTATCATAAGTTATCGTAATGTGTGTGGTACTTGATTTTAGATTAATACATTAGTGTGTGTTAGTTATTAAGTATCAGATACAGGTAATTTTAGTTGCCCAAAGAACGGATATCTAGTAGTGATTTGTATGAATGCATCATGGTCATTAATGTATATCAAATACGTGTTATACCACATTAACTATTAATATATATCTATATTGGTTGTCAATCTGAAGTTTTGACTTCTTCTGGATGTAGAAGAAAATTACATCAATGCACTACACAATGTATCATAAAAATTGAAATATAAGAGTTAAAAAGATAAAGAGAAAAACATAAAATCCCCTTGAACTTGACAGCAAAACTTACTTTAGCACTTTAACTTTACGGGTAATTATTTACCCTCCTAATCTCTTTTCAAGTGAATTAAAATACACCCGAATAGCTGACATGGCAAGTCAAAAAAAATAAAGCTCGTATATACCAAAAATTAAAGAGAAAAAGAATAAGTGGACCCCAATTATTTTCTTTTTATCCAATAATCTTTATTTTCTTCATCTTCTTCATACCCTACCACCCCTTGCCCTAGTACCACCAACCCCACCCCCACCTCCCCATCCACCCCTCCCACCCTCAACCACCACTTGCACCACCCCTTTCTTCTTCTTCGAACCCTCCCCCCCTCCACGAACCCCACTCCTACCCTCTTTCTTTATCTTTGAACCTCGGTACTTCACACTTTTCTTCTTCTTCTTTGTTGAACTTTCCATCTTTTTTCTCCTTCTTCAAGACGCCCCCCATCCCACCCTCATTTTCTTTAATTTCTATCAATAAACCCAAAAAGTGTGATGAACAAGGAAAAAATAGAAAAGTCATCAATTAGTTCTTGCTTCAAATTAAAATTAGTATTTATGGCAAGGTTTGAATGTGATGAACTTAAAGCTCTTTTTAATGAAATTCTACAAAATTTTCATCTCAAATTAAATTTTTAGTTGTTATGATTTATTTATTTTGATTATGTGTCTTAAAAATTGAATGTGTTTTTGTGAGAATGGTTTTAAGATTTTGAATCTCTTTTAACTTAAAATTTGTTCTTTTTTTGAGATTATTTTTCTT